GAAATTGCATGAAAAACATGAGGAATTTCTTATTTTGTGATGGTTAGTGTTCATGTCATTAGCTAGTGGTAGGATCAAAGAAGAGCATTGTATACTAGGAGGATAATTAGGGTTCATTGTACTCTTGATATCCTTCCCCAGAGCTGATACTTCCTTAGTTCCACTCACCTTAATAAATTATATCACCAAGAAATGTCTGTATTTTTATTATTTCTTTTTATTTATTCTTCAGCTCTAATTTACCTATAAATGTATTATCACTACACCTTTAAAACAAATCTTTTTGTAAAAATTATATTATTGGTATAATTCAGATACGAGTAATGATAACATTCATCATAAGGAATTTGTACCTGTATGGGATATAATTTGATTCCCCTCTTTTTCCCAATCCCCTCTCCCTTCAAACCCTTTTCCCCTTCCTATATATAAAGCCTTATTTCCTTTTTATCCTTCACCATTTTTTTCTTTTCCTTCCCTTCTGTTACCCATCCCCCGCCTTAGTTCCTCTTACCTTTTAACAATTGCTTCCTATTTCACAATATGGATTGTATATTTTGGTTTTTATTTATTCCTTCAGTTCCTTAACCAGGGAGAAAATGTGATATTTATATTCATGCATCAAATTTATTTCACTTAAGAATATGGTCTCACAGTTCATTCATTTACCTAAAAATGTCTCAAATTTTTCCTTCCTTATGGCTATTACTCCATTGTATAAAAACCCCTAACTTTTGATGACATAATCTGCCCCCCGCCTTTTTTTGGTTGGAGGGTTCAGACTCATGACTGTGTGCTTATGCCAGTGAGCTAAATCCCTGGCCCTGGACTTCTTTTTTTTTTGGTACTGGAGATCAAACTCACAACTTTGTGCTTGTCAGGAGGGCTCTTATGCTACTGAGCTAAATTCCCAGCCCCCTAAAAAACCCACAACTTTTTACTCTATTCCTCAATTGACAGACACTTGGGCTGTTTACAAGATTTAGCTATTACAAATAATGTGCTATAAACATGAGTGTACATATATTGCTTTGGTACGACGGTTTTAATTCTGGGAAAATACGCAGAAGGGAAAAACTCTTTCATGGTACTTCTAGTCCTAGATTTTTAAGGAGTCTCCTCACTGATTTTCACAGTGGTTGCACCAGTCTGCACTCCCACCAAAACGGGAGAAGTGTTCCTTTTCCCCCACAGTCCCTCCAGCATTTGTTATTGGTTGACTTATGGATGATAGCCATTAGATTCCCTAGGACAAGCTCATCACCTGTTTCCTGGATTGCAAAAAAAAACTCTTAGAACAGATTTACTTTTCCTACTCTTATGTTCCTGCAATCTTATTTCTTTTCAGAGGCAAGAGTGCTTTTCTTTTAAAGCATGGCATAGTTTTTCATTTGCCCTTCTTATAGCATTAGTGGCCCTCTTCATATTTTATACTACACAGTCTGACCTGCCTATTTGGTGTCATTTTGCCTTGCTATTTAACACACATGCTTTAGCCCTTCTGACTTAAAAAAGTTGTTTCTTAAGTTTTCTTAACTTTTTCAACTGTTACTTTTCCTCCTTCTATCTCACAACTTTGATCTGATCTGCAAATATCTGGTTACTTTTAGTAATTCAGTGATACTTTTTGACTATCAAGTCTGAAATATTCTGGTTGTGAAGTCACTTTCTATTTTATTGATTCTTGTTCTTGTTTGTATCTGAAGTTATCTTCACTGTTTTTACCGAGACACTCAGGACCACCATGAGGACAAGAGGAAGTGCACTTCTAGGGCACACCTCATGGCCTATTATCCTTCAGAAATGTGGTATACATTTCTTCCTACTCTCCAACTCTTCAAATTATATAATCATAAGGTCTGATTGACCAGGTTCACTGCAAGAGTCAGGATATTGTTTCCATAGTGTCTCGCAGAATAAACTAAATGAGCATTGAACCATATCGTTCATAAGGAAGGAATTCCTTGTGAAAATATTTCACTCAAGACTTGTGGAATATTACCAGGTCCTCCCCATCCTCAGTAAGTCAATAAAAACCGTGTCTTTTTCATTGTTAACAGAGCAGCCTGATTTTTATATCAGTGTTGTCTCCATATTTTTGCCTGCATACCTATACTCTTTGGCTTGGTCGTCACCAGCTCTGAAGATCTGTGTCCAGCATCACTCTGTGACTCTGCCAAAACAGTGTGAGACAAGCTCAGGGTGAGACATACTGGGTTTGGGACCTCTGAGCAGGACATCAGTGAGTGAGTCTCAGTTTCCTAGATCTTCTTTGTCCAGAATACAATTCTGTGTATTCCACATTCTACTTGCTTCTCCTAACCTGTAGGCAATGCTCCATTTCCTCCTATTTTCTTGCACTTACTTTTTTCTTCTCTCTTTCTCTTTTATATCCTTCATTTCCAAAGATTACAAAACATAAACTAGGCCTTCCTACCTACCACAACTCACCTGGGAATTCCTTGATCCACATAGAACCAAGTAGCAATCAGGTAGTGGTTGATGGCATCCCTAGGACTTAATGTAATTTTTAGACTCTTACTGCCTGTCAACCCACTGGTTTACCTTTCACTAAGATCTTTTCCTTTTCCTCCTTTCTCTTCTGCATTTTTCATTCCCTGTTTGATTTGGGGAACCAGAAAGCCTTGTTGCAATGACATCTTCATAGTTATACCCCCTATCGTCTGGGTTCAGCGAGACATTTAAAGATCAGGGTCAGGGATCAATCTTATTTGAAGTCTACCAGTGGCTATTTGAGTCCCCTATCTAGTAGTCCATGTGAAAGAGGTTCTCAAGTCTTTTGCCACACAAAACAGCAGAAGTCACCTAATTGATTATGCTTTATTCTTTTTGTCCTTCTTCCTTTCCCCTCTCTCACTCTGGCTTGCATTTGTGTCTCCATGTTAGTTCTTGTTTTCATCTTTCAAAATATCTTAATGTCCCATTTAAGTATACAGAACAGGTAGAAATACACCTTAAGCTTTTACTGGGTGAGGTTCTGCTAACTGGACTTGTAGACATTAAAATTTCTGTTTAGACCTATGTTTCCCATATTCATTTCTTCATTTTTCTTCATCTCATAATTATTTCTTCATTGCTATGTTCTGGTCTATGTTTCTGCCTGTATGGACAAAAAGGGATGCTTTATAAGATTTTGCTTATTAATGGTCTGCATTGTGAAACTTGTGCTGTTTTGCATTGGCCCTTGACAACAGCTCATAACTTGCCCCTGCCCTCCACAAAGTAGATGCTGTAACTGAATAGAAGCTCTTGTTCAATGCCATGGCTTTTAATTCTGTGGCTGATTAGCATGCCTAATTTAGAGTATTCTTGTTAGCAATTTCAAAATAGTTTTTTACTTCAATTATACAGTAATATATGGAGGCTTTTAGTTGTTTTTTCTACTGTATTTACTAAAATATAAAACCAAAAATAAACAAAAAATATGATTGTATAGGTATCGGAGAGCAACTCAACCAAACTTGAGAGTAAAGGAGAAAAAACAAAACAAAAGAAGCTTTATAAAAATAAACATGTTACTCTGTAAAACCAGATCAAGACTTAGATAAGACTTGCAAATAAAATCTCAGAGACTGAGCCAAGTCTAGGAAAGTTAGCCAGAACCTGCCTCAAAAAAAAAAAAAAAAAAGAAAAAGTAACTAAATACATGGACTGCAAATGTAACTCAACATAAAGAAGCTGGGTTCAAACCTGAATACCAACAAAAAAAGGCTTAAAATTTGGTAATGTAAGGTTATTTGATCTAACATGTTTCAGTGTGCTACTTTTGCATATCTATTATATTTGTTTACCAAACAAAATCCACTGAGAAATTCTACTCATTAACTGACAGATGAATAACCACTGAAATTATGAGTCCAAATGGTTTTTTGCTTGCATGATATAGGTAAAACTTTCACAAATTAACTTTAATCTGTAAGATACAAGTAAAACTGTCTTACCTTTGCTAGAATTGTGTTTCACCTAAGTTGCTAGCTAATCAGGATAATAGTTATCTTTGTCAAAAATTTAACTAACAAGGCAGGCACAGTGATGCACACCTGGAATTCTAACACACTGTGAAGTTGAAGCAGTAGAAATACATATACGTGCAAGTCCAGACTGGGCAACTTAGTAACTTTGCAAGACCATGTCTCAAAAAATAAAAAATGATGGGATATGCCTCAGTGTGAAGGCCCTGAGTTCAAAACTGATTGACATAAAAATAAAACAAAAGTAGTGTAAGGCACAATGGCCATTCCCTTTTATCTTTCAAGTGTGGCAACTTTTAGGGCTTTATTTGGCAAAGAAAGATTCAAGTGTTAACAATAATTCCCTAATAGTTTGGCTTTAATGGATAATATAAAAACAACTACTGAAAGTTAATTAAGCAAATATCATTGTGATTAATGTTTAAAAGTCATAAGACATAAAATAACTAACTTGTAAATAATTTTAATATATATACAGTTCTACATACAAAATTATTAAAATAAGGATATTTAGTCTTAGAAAGAACAATTTGTCTAAAAGGAGAAATTTTGTGAAGAATTTGTATAAAAGGAGAATTTTATGAAGAATGTTTCAAATTGCAAATTTAAAAATGTTAATGCAAAGAAAAACCAGTAAATAAAAGGTGATATAAGAAGATTATAGGTTTAGAGATGTGTATTCTGAAGTGGAGACAATTTATGACAAGTTTACGCCAAAAGTTAGCTAATCTTGCCTGCATTCTAACACTTTGGGGCTTTACTTACTATTACTCTACTTCTAATTATTTGCCCCAACTTATTTTAATATCTTTGTAAAATTTGTGCCTTCCAAACTTCAGCAATTCCAAATCAAACTAATGTTCATAAATTTCAACCCATCAAGACGGGCAGTTTTCTTAGCACCATGCCCTAAGACAGGAGACATTTTTATAACCACCAAGGTTAGGCAGGGTCAGTGTCCTTATCTTAACAGAAAGCAGTAATAAAAAATCTCTTTTTTCTCTTAAGGATATAGAGAATAAAATCTTTTAGAGGGAAATGAGAGAGACCACCATGGAGACAAAGGTACTTTTCTAGGGTCTTCACACAGTCCATTTACCCATTTTAAAGTATTGTATGTATTTCTTCAAGTGTTATAATAAAGATCAACTGAAACACAGGACAAGATGTACTGCATTCAGTCATCGTAACATCTTCAAGCATATGACTACTGATCTATGTGTTTTATGAGGAAGTCATTCCTTGTGAAAATATCACACTCATGACAAGTAGGAAATTAATTGACTTTACCCAACCCTAGAAACCCAACAAAAATCTTGGTCCTTTCCTTGTTAACAGGCCAACTTGATTTTGTATCAGTTCTGCCATTTTCTGTTTCAGGTACGTCATCATCCCAAATAAAGTTTTGCCTGCATGCTAATACTTACTGGCACATTTTCATTTCTATTATCTCAAAGTTGGAAGATTCTGTGTCCTGCATCATTACTCTTACTATTCTGTTCACATGAATGCTTTCTTTTTTTTTCTACTAAAATACACGTTCTTTTAGAACAGTGCTTACCAAAAAGTAAGTACTTAACTCAACACTTGCTGAAAGGATGGATACAGATTTTTTCCACCTATAATATTAATCCCTTTTGTAGAATTTTGCTAAATAGAGGATAAAAGAGAATATAAATTATTATATTCAGTGTTATATCAGATATAATGATAGCTTATGGGGGGAAAACATCATCACACACACAAATACTAGTGGTCTAGCCCAATTCCTAGTGGTCTAGTCATGTAGTAAATACATGTTTTAATGAGGAATAGGAGGGGAAAACCTATTTCATCAATTCTTGGATATTTATATTTCAAGTAATTTAAATTTTAATGTATAAATTTAAATAAGACATGATGAGAGGAGAAAAAAATAATTGAATGTTCTGCCTACTTTTGTAAATGGAGCTACCCAAATATTTACAGATAGTTAAAACAATATTTTGATTATTAATTCGGTTGACACTAATTGTAATTTCCTTTGTATTATTGAAGGACTTAGAAATAAGATCTAATACTAATTAGATAATTCATATATGAAGAATTTTAATATGTAACTAGTATCATATGTTTGAAAAGATTCATATTTTTTTCCTGAAGTAAAAAGACCGTTTAAATTCTAAGTTCTAAAAGACTATTTAAATTCTTTTCCTGGGTGAGTTCTATTCACCTCTTGAGTGAACACTATGATCAATGATCATTTTCCGTTGATAAAGAGTCGGTAGTCTAAATTTATACTGGTACTAAATTTTACCTTGTAAAATGTTCTCTTTTCCAGAAATATAAACAATTGGTAGAAAGAACCCTGACAGCCTCACAGCAAAATGAGGTTCTTTCTGCTACTTTCCGCCATCGGGCTCTGCTGGGCTCAATACACACCACATACTTGGCAGGGACGCACGTCTATCGTTCATCTGTTTGAGTGGCGCTGGAACGATATTGCTGAGGAATGTGAACGATACTTAGCTCCAAAGGGATTTGGAGGTGTACAGGTAAGTATTGCTCTCAGCGTGCACTGCAAACTGTAGTGAGCACATACTACATAGTATTTCAATTAGATGCGGTGATTTGGAAAAATATTTCACTTCAATAAAACACCCTGTCTCTGAAAATAAAAAGATACAGTGTTGCTGACAAGATTTTTGTTTCAGGATATGAGAAGGACAACTCCAACATGTATTTATTATATTCAAGCTGCTATGTATCTACGTACAGCAATGTATCTACGTACAGAAAGACTTACATAAATAGTTTAAACTATGAGTTAGATTTTATAGCATGCAGTAGTGTAAATAAAGCCATAATTTTGTTATTATTAAGATTCTGTTTCTTTCAGGTTTCTCCCCCCAATGAAAATATTATTGTAAACAACCCATATAGACCTTGGTGGGAAAGATATCAACCAGTTAGTTATAAAATATGCTCAAGATCTGGAGGTGAAACAGAATTCAGAAACATGGTGACTAGGTGTAACAATGTTGGAGTAAGTAAATTCAAAATTATTTTCAAATTTTTATATAAGAAAATAACTTCTTTCCCCATTGCTTGCTATTTTTGAGCAGAATGTTAGGAAATTAAAATTTTAAAATTGTTTTCTTCCTATCTTTTTAAGTGAAAAATGAACTGTTGCCTTGTACTTAAAGGTTGCAAATTTGCTTATGTAAACCACTATAAAGATGAGGAAATAAATAAAAATTACTTATAATGTAGAAAATTTAAATGTAATGCTTATAACTGTACACATTTTCTATCAACATAATTCTGCATAGTAATTGGAGATTCCAGTTACAATAATTGCTGGCTTTTATATGTGATTTATGCTTTCACTTGTGATTCCAAGATTTTTCTCCATCCTCTTGTGGCTATTAAGTAGCTATTTAATTTTGACAAATACAGTAGGAAGAAAGAATTAACTGTTTTTATTTCTTGGTGACCAACAGAAATGTCCAAAAACACTGTCTTCAGGCTCAATTGATTCTTAATTCCACCTGAGTGTATTTTTTCCCATTTCTTCAGGGTTATGGAAATTTACTCTTTTCTAAATATTTATATGTACTGACCAACTGGCTAAAATTGATGCAGTTCCTTATTTCACAGTGGAATCCTTTCATACTTCATTTTCATCTTGTGTGAACTTATAGTTATAAAATTACAAAGAAATATTTTTACTTTACAAATATCTGATAGTATCTAGAAGTCAAATTGAAGCAGTCGATTTGCTTTTCAGGTCCGAATTTATGTGGATGCTGTGATCAATCACATGTGTGGTGACGGCAATGGTGCAGGAACAAACAGTATTTGTGGAAGTTACTACAATACTCAAAATAGGGAGTTTTCTGGGGTCCCATATTCTGCTTGGGATTTTAATGATGGCAAATGTAAAACTTCGAGTGGAGGCATTGAGTCCTATAATGATGCTGCTCAGGTAAATTTATTTTTAAAATAGCACATGACTTTTATTTTTAAAATTTTAAAAATAGTAAAAACTGTGGTGTTATCTGACATTTTATTGTAGATTTATTATTACAATTCACATATACATATTGACAGGTATACATATTATTCATTACAGGGATTTTTTATCTACACATGCTATACCTTGAATCCTTTTTTTTTTTCCCCATTCCCATTCTCTGTCATCCAAGAACTATATAGGGCTTTAGTAACTTACATGGATATGATTGAATGTCATCTGATACTGGTTTAGATTCCTTAGGAAAACTATTTATCAATCTTACTAGTTTAAAAATAACAAAATATTCAAATACTTTCCTTTAAGCATAAGACTTGTAATATTCTAAAGGAGAAGAGCACTTATTTGCTATTCTGGAAAGTGCTAGTTTGTTTGCCCACACACATAGCATAAAAGAATAAAAAAAGAAAGACAGATACAAAAACATTCTCTAAGTGAAAAGTTTACCTCCTTTATTTTTGTACTAAAAATCATTTCACAAGTATGCTCACAGTAAAGTTTCATTATCACTAATATTTTTGCAAAGAACACATTATGTAGCATATAATAACCTAAATATGTAATTGAATAATTAAATGGATTCTTAGGTGAAAGATGATGTTTTATGAATGAATGAAAAAATTTACCTCAACAGGTCAGAGACTGCCGTCTCACTGGTCTTCTGGATCTTGCACTGGAGAAGGATTATGTGCGTACCAAGATTGCCGACTACCTGAACAAGCTTATTGACATTGGTGTAGCAGGGTTCAGACTTGATGCTTCTAAGCACATGTGGCCTGGAGACATCAAGGCAATTTTGGATAAACTGAATAATCTCAACACAAAGTGGTTCTCTGCAGGAAGTCGACCTTTCATTTTCCAAGAGGTACATCAATAATAATCAATGTATGTGTATGCATATAATAAAAGGGCATGTTATTCTTTCCACAATAAATGACAGATTAATAAAATATGTGATTTCTGCAACATTCATCATTCCAAAAGAGTATTCTTTTACTGTATTCAAAGGTAGCAAATCTAATTCCTATTTTTTTTTTCGATACCAGGAATTGAACTCACGACTGCCTGCTTGCAAGGCAGGCGCTTATGCCACTGAGCTAAATCCCCAGCCCCGCAAATCTAATTCTTTATCAAAATAGTTTGCATGGAAACATAAAAATTGTATGAATGTGAAAGTTAAACTGAGCCACTTAATACCTCTTTATGTACTATAGAGAAGACAGACAATTGTTAACCTCTGTTGCTACAAACAAATCTATCTTAGATAAAATCTTGGCTACATAATTAGTAGCTGTTTGAAACAACTCTGGACTCTAGGCTGTGTAACATTTTGAGAAAATTGATTATATTTCTGTAAAACCGTTTTCCCATATGCAAAAATGTGCTAAGATTTTGTTGTCATTGGAAATTAAATAATTATCAAGCACTGAGAAATGTTGTCAGTCAAATAATAAATGTGTGTTGGTGTGAGCTATTGTTTATATCTGTGGAAAAATAAGTAAGTTAAGCTTTTTTTAAAGGATAATTTGTCACCCTATCATCAAATTTCTTTCAATATTGTGGCACATGTTTATGAAAAGAATGTTTTGGAGTATGTCAAGTTACATAACTAGCTTAAATGTATTTGAATGCAACTTTAAAATTCTGATGTGAAAGACTTTTTCCTCTATATTTCTATTAGGTAATTGATCTGGGCGGTGAAGCAATTACAAGTAGTGAATACTTTGGAAATGGCCGTGTGACAGAATTCAAGTATGGGGCCAAACTAGGTACAGTTATTCGCAAGTGGAATGGAGAGAAGATGGCTTACTTAAAGTGAGTAAAATGTTCATTGTCATTTGAACTTTATTGTGTCTATTTGACACATAGCCAGTAATCTTCATAAAACCTTGTTATTTCAATACTTACCAAGATTTTGACTACTAATTGATGTTAGGCTTTACCCTTATTAATTAACAATCTCTTTTATTTTTAATATCAAAGCAAATATTTTAGAAACTGAACAAGTTACCAAGAAGTTATATCCTATAATATGAGTATTCTCAGGTTCATTCCTATTAATTTGTGAACTCAGCTAATTCTTCAAATGAATTTAACATTTTATTCAGTATCTATGATGTGCTCATAATCTGTAATTGACATATATGATTCAATTTATGAATTTCAAATATAAAACTATATATACTATAACATTGTCATTGAAGCCTGATTTTTAATTTACTTTGATATGCTCTATAATATGACATGAATGTTTATTCTTCTGGAGTCCATCTATGTTTCAATATAATGAATCCAAATTGCAAAATCTTTTGGGAGACCACTTAATTAGAAAATTTAACTGAAGAATGTAGAAAAAATGAGAGTAAATTGCTCTAAAGCAATTGTACATGCATATGTATGATATGTACATCTCATTTTTTGGTACATCTTATTTTTATTCTAGGAACTGGGGAGAAGGATGGGGCTTCATGCCTTCTGACAGAGCCCTTGTCTTTGTGGATAACCATGACAATCAACGAGGTCATGGAGCTGGAGGAGCATCTATTCTTACATTCTGGGATTCCAGGTAAGAAATACATTTCTCCAAATTTTGTTTTCAAGTTCTAAAGTGAATTTTTAAAAAAAATTATTTTAAAGACAGTGAAATTAAATGGAACAAAACAGAACAAAACAGATAATAAGAAAACAATGTAAGAGACACAGATTTCAAAGCATGACAACCGGAGATCTTCACTATCACATTGACTCTTGTTTTCTTCCAAATAGTTGTCCATAGCTTCACATAAAATGAATTCATACAAACAAAATAGAATAAAACTGATTAGGACAGGATGATGAAGGCATTTTAGGCCTTCAAGACCAGAAAATAGAGAAGTCAACAATGGCTGCCGTAACATCTCTCATTTCTTTAAATTAGCTGTCCATACCTTCACATACGTTGAAATTAAACAAAAGAAAACAGAGTAAAATCACTCTGAAAAAAGAATTACAGTGTTGCTAGATTTCACATCATGATGCTATGGAATCAGCACTGGGTACCTTACTGTCTCTTTTTCTTCAAAGTAGTTGTTCATTTCATCATGCATTATATAATCGATTCTCATAAACTGTTTAGAAGTTCTACACATGCATGAGTCTGTACATGTATACCTATCCTTTCTGTATTAGAGGGAAAACAAAACAAAACAAGACAAAATAAAACAAATTCCTAGAAAACCACAAAATGAAAAAGACATAAACAACAATAGCAAAGAACCTAGAACACTAACAGTATAGGCCTTCAAAACAAGGTGGTATGAGCATAACTAAGATTGTTATTTTACATAATAATCTTCAGGAGTTCCTCAGATCACCATACAATAATATGCACAATTGTTCCAAGCCTATGAATGCTAACTGTTTTGTCCCAAGAACTTACAGAATTTGTAGCACAATCATCTTAGTTATCCTAAGTGTGTTCATATCATTTTAGATATTTTATTTTTTCCATTGCTTTTTCTTTTTCCTCATTTTGCCTGAGATATTATTTTTCCCCTTTAAGCAGCTTCTTATCCTTTCACTGTATTTATTGAGAATTTTGTATCTTATGTATTCTTACCATTTCTTAACTAGGAAGACTACACGGTATTTATACATGTGAGTTTGATCTATTTCACTTATGAATATGCTCTCAAGTTGCATCCATTTATTTATAAATATTTCAAAGTGATCATTCTTTATAGCTGAGCAGTACTCCATTGTGTAAAAATACCATATCTTTTTTATCCATTCCTCAGTTGATGGGCATTTAGGTTGTTTCCGAGATCTAGCTATTATAAATTGTGCTGCTATAAACATGGGTGCACATATATCACTGTGGTATGTTGTTTTCAGTTCTTTTGGGAATATGCCCAGAAGTGGAATAGTTGGATCAAATGAGGTCTCTAGTCACAGCTTTTAGAGGAATCTCCAGATTGACCTCCACAGTGGTTGCACCAGTCTACACTCCCACCAACAGTGTAGAAGTGTTCCTTTTTCCCCACAACCTCTCCAGCACTTCTTGTTGGTAGTTTTCTTGATCCTGCATTCTTTTTAGAGGAAGATGGAATCTTAGTGTTGTTTTAATTTACATTTTTCTAATGACCAATGATGCTGAACATTTTTTAATGTATTTATTTTCCATTTGTATTTCTTCATCTGACAACTGTGTATTCATGTCAGATGCTCATTTTTGAAATGGGACTTTGAATTTTGGGGATCTGACTTTTTAAAATTCTTTATATGTTCTGGACAGAAGTCCTTTGTCTGAGGGATTGACCATTCACTATAATTTTTCCCCAATTTGTGTGTTTTCTTTTCAATGTACAGAAGATTTCTTTTGACACACAAAGACTCTTTAATAGGCAGGATGCGATCCCAGTTGTTGATTCTGTGAAATATTTCATGTGCAATTTGATTCTTGTTCACGAATTCTCCACCTACACCTATGTTTTCAAGATTTCTACCTACTTTGTCTCCCAAAAAATTTAGTGTTTCTGTTTTAATATTTAGATCTTTTATCCATTTAGAATTTAGTTTAGTACATGGTGATAGGCATGGGTCTAGTTTTAGTTTTCAGCATATGGAAAGCCAATTTTTCCAGCACCATTTATTAAAGAGACTGTCGTACTTCCAGGAACATGTTTGACCCAGTGATTGAGTGTGTTTGTAGTTATGGTTGTGTCTTCTAATCTATTCCACTGACCTTCAGATCTGTTTTAATTCTATATCATGTTGATTTTATTACAGTACTTTTGTAGGATAACTTCCAGTCAGGGATTTTGATGCCTCCTGCCTTGTCTTCGCTGCTTAGAATTGCCTTTGCTATTCTTGGTCTCTTCTGGTTCCAGATGAATTTTAGGAGTGATATCTCTAGATCTATGAGATATGCTAGTGGCATTTTGATTGGGATTGCATTAAATCTGCATAACAATTTTGAGAGAATGGCCATTATCACAATGTTTGTTCCTTCCTATCCATGAACCAGGGATGTCTATTTTCTGAGGTCCTCTTCGATTTCTTTTTTCAGGGTATTTCAATTTTCCCTGAATTTGCTTCTTTTGTTAGATTAATTCCTAAGTGTTTCATTTTGTTGGATGCTACTGTAAAGGCTGTGACTTTTATTATTTCTCTCTCAGTGGTTTTTTGTTAGTGCATATGAATGCTCTTGATTTTTGAGTGTTGACTTTGTGCCCAGCTATACTGCTGAATTTACTTATTATACCTAGGAGTCTTTCAATGGAATTTTGGAGCCTTCTATGAAGAATATCATGTAATCTGCAAATAATGATAATTTAACTTCTTTTCCTATCCTTACTCCTTTCATTTCTCTCTCTTGTCTAATTGCTCTGGCTAGTATTTCCAGGACAATATTGAATAGGAGTGGTGATAAGGGACATCTTTGTCTTGTTCCTTATTTTAGGGTAAAGGCTTTCAGGTTTTGGCTGTTTAATATGATGCTGGCTGTTGGTTTGTCCTAGATAGATTTTATCATATTGAGGTAAAGACCATCGATTCCAATTTTCTGTAAGGTTTTTTTAATCATGAATAAGTGTTAGACCTTTTCAAAAACTTTCTGCATCTATAGAAATGATTGTGTGGTTCTTATTTTTGGCTCTGTTGATATGGTTGATTACATTCATTGATTTGCATGTGTTGAACCTTGCATTCCTACATTCCCGGATGAATCCCACTTGATCATGTTGTATAATCTTCTTGATGATTTGCTGGATTCTGTTTGCCAAAATTTTATTGAGAATTTTTGCATATTTATTCATTAGGGAGATTGGCCTATAGTTCTCTTTTATAGTTGGGTCTTTCTCAGGTTTTGGTATTAGAGTAATGTTTGCTTTCAGGAATGAGTAAGGAGAATTGTTTCTCTTTCAGTTTCATTGGAGAGTTTGAGGACTGTCAGCATTAAATGTTTCTCCAAAATTTTTATCTACCTTTATATGATAATTGAAGGCTCTATTCTTACAGTGTCATTTTGTAATTTTCAGAATGTATAAAATGGCTGTGGGCTTTATGCTTGCTCATCCTTATGGATTTACACGAGTAATGTCAAGCTATCGTTGGGACCGATATTTTCAGAATGGAAATGTAAGTTTTAGAGTTGTTCAAAATCTCTTTCTCTGGGCTGGGGATAGAGCTCCATAGCATAAGTGCCTGAAGGCAATGCAAGGTCCTGAGTTCAATTTCCAATGCCAGTATTGAAAAAGAAAAAAAAAAGTTATATCCCTTATTTCAGACTAGGGATATAACTCAGTGGAACAATTCCTGTCTGGCAAATGCGGAGTCCTGAGTTCAATCCTTGACATGTATAGACACACTCATGAGCACACACACACTTGTGCAACACACTTGGACACACAAACACAAATAAATAATTTTTATTGTGTAAACCAGAAAACAAAATATGTGCTTCTCAGTAAAGACCTTTTAATGTTTTTGCATAGAGAATTTTATTTGATACTTATTCATCATGCATCTGTTTTAGTGTATATTGTTCATTCTATATGATTTTGCACTTATTCTTTTGCTACCTTTACGTAATTTTTGAAAAGAAAGACCTTTTGTAGGTTTTTTTAATGTTATATAGAAGTTTAGATTCTAATTTTCTTGTCACTAAGGCTCAAAGGCTCTTGCTGTTTCAGTGACGTTGAGTAGTGATATTAAGAAGCTGTTGGTGGTGGAAAAATTGATAGCATAAAACTGCTTGAACAATGCCACTATAGAAAAGCAGTCTACAGTCACAGTAAAGATCAGCAAAGAAAAGTTGGATTCTAAATATCTGAATATTGCAGATATTAGGTAGTAGCCCTGATTAAGGAGAAGGAAGATAGAAGTGTGAGTGCTCAAAACATGTAAGGTATTTTTCTCATAATTAAGGATGTTAATGATTGGATGGGACCACCAAACGACAATGGAGTCATCAAAGAAGTAACTATCAATGCAGACACAACTTGTGGCAATGGCTGGATCTGTGAACATCGCTGGCGTCAAATAAGGTGGGCACACTTATTAAGAAATGTTTTCTAATGCTAAAGCATTGTGTTTTCAAGTGTGAGGTCAAAGGACATTTTATATGAGTCTGTGCTTTTAGGAACATGGTTGCCTTCCGAAACGTAGCTGATGGCCAACCTTTTTCAAACTGGTGGGATAATGGAAGCAACCAAGTAGCTTTTGGAAGAGGAAACAAAGCATTCATTGTCTTTAACAATGATGACTGGTGAGTAGATGCCAATTAAAAGTATTGTATTCCATTATGTTATTGGTTATTTTTTTCTTTCTCTTCTCATTTACTTTTTTATCGTAATTGAAATATCTTTTAGTCTATGGCAGAAAAAAATAATTTTAGATCCCTTCAGTTTCTTTTGTTTTTATAAGGGTTTTCTGTTTTGAATAGATGTCTTTTTATGCACTCTTGCCATCATGTATGTGTATATATATTATATATGGTATAATGTATATCATAGTACAGTAATATATAGCATAAAATATAATATATAACGTATTTAGTAGTATAGTAATATATATAGCATAATATAGTATATATGACCCTCTATATAGTTTGTAGTAATGTATGGTACACTAATATATATTAATATATATTAATATATATAATACACATTAATATATTCTCATTGCATTGTCTAGTTAGTACACCAATAATATAATAGCTGTGAAGTCACTAAAAGAATATGTTTTGGACTTATCTGGAATATAATTTTTTCCCCTAGCTCTGTATGTCATCTCTTCTCCATCTACTTCTTTGATTTATAGCTTGCATTCTTATGACTCTGTTAATGGATAGTGATTTAGAGAGTCAGGGAAGTCAAAAATTATTTATGAGTTGACTATGAGTAGAAGTTGGTCTTGGACTAAGGAATTTCAATAACTTTGAAAAGGTCCTAGTAACTATAATTATGTATTTGAGAGAATCTAAAGACAGGAATAGAATAAAGGCATTACAAGTGAAAGAACACAAATGGAAAGTTTTAAAATGAAACACAAAAACTTACTGCGGAATATGATGGACCATACCATGTATATTTTTATACATACATTTAAAAAGTATTGTTCTACTCATTGTTAGTTCATTTTACCCTAATTTTATATAAATAAATAAGTAATGTGTATCTCTTTTTTTAACCAAAAGATTGCCATGGATAGTTCTTTAACTTTTGTGTTCTGGATTTAAGAACTGAAATAAATCTATACAACACAGATTTACATACCAAAACTATGTACTTTGCTATAGAAATGCTAGATGACTTTTACTTCTAGATCAAATTCTTTTTAACCTCTTGAAAGAAAAGATATTTGTGGAAAAAAAAATCCCATAGAAATCCTTAAAAGAATTCAGCATTTGTTAAGTTCAGAAGATTATAAATTTATAATATTCATTTGTCTACTTACGTACAGCAACTCCTACAAAACTTCAATTAGTATTTTTTGACTTTCCTTACTTGGTAATATATACTTTTCAATTTGATTTGATCAGTTTTCTATAAGATTGCTTTTAGAATTTAGGGAATGTCTGGAGATGTCTTTAGATTTGAATTTGTTTCTTATTGAGCACTTGACTGCTTAAAATATATAGCACCAAGTTAAATCCTTCACTTATTCTAGAAATAATCTGCTTTCTTGCATTTGTTTGATTTAAAGTTAAATACTAAATTGTATTTTATAGGTCATTGTCATCTACTTTGCAAACTGGTCTACCTGCTGGCACATATTGTGATGTCATTTCTGGAGATAAAATTGATGGCAACTGCACAGGAATTAAAGTCTATGTTTCTGATGATGGCAAGGCACAATTTTTTATTAGTAACTCTGCAGAAGACCCCTTTATTGCCATTCATGCTGAATCAAAATTATAAAGTTCAAATTAAATACATGTAGAGAAAGCATAATCAAGTGTGTTTTTTTCGTGGACATGCATTAGTCCTTATAATTCATTAAATTTTAATAATAATTATATGCAATCAACATGAATCAGTTTAAGCATTTTAAAACCTACACATAACTATACAATTACAATATATCTACAACCAAAATTGTCCTATATTAACCTTTATGACTTTCTTCTTCTCTCTTTGATAATAAAAAATGTACCCTATTTCAAAAAAGCTGATACTCGCAAATTGTATGAATGCTATGAAACCATTTTTAGTTTTTGACATAGCAAAATATTCCTTACCTTAGTCCTCTCTGATTATATGTAACCCAAATTTAAAAAAAAAATCTACACTTTAACTTGGATGTGTCATGTACCTCATATGTCATTGTGATGAAGGCTTGGTTCCCGTTCTGGTGATGTGAAGGTAATGGGAACTTTAAGTGGTGGGTCTTCTATTGGAAGATGGTTAGATCATTGAAAATGCTTCCCTCAGAAGAAATTAGGAAGTTGACCGAGCTCAGTGGCACAGCTTCTTCCTGGGAAGCGCAAGGTCCTAAGTTCAATTCCCAGTACCAAAAAAAAAAAAAAAAAAAAAAAAAAAAAAAAAAAGATACTGGGCCTCAGATAAGCTGTAATCATAATTAAATTATGAAATAATTATGAAATAATGATTATGTATTCTGGGCTTTGACAAATTGCTGCAAACTTGCTGTTACAGTTGCATTAGTCAATAAAAATAGCACATTGTAAAAATAGGAACTTGTGATAATAGGACATTGTAGTTCATATTATTCTATACGTTCTATGGAACAATTTCATTAAACTTATAATCATGTGGTGTGACTGACCACAGAAGACACTTGGGGGCATTAGTTGAGTGTCTGTATAAAGTAATTTCAATATTATGATTATTGATATTGTTATTGTTTCTGTCTACAGTTGACCTAAATAGTAAATACATATACAATAACTTTCCAAATTATCTTAACAAGATTAAAAGCCCAGATACCTCCTGGTCAAAGATCAACTTTTCAACATTTGAAAACTCAGAGTTGTAGGAAGCAATGAGTTCTATTCTAGGGTCTGCAATTTTAAAACCACATATCAGGTTTTTCTATATTTTACATCAGGCAATTTAGAGAAGATGGTGGAGTGGTAAGCAGCAGAAAGGACCTTTCTGAAATTTGGTGTCCAGACACTGGAATATAGCAATGTGAGGAAGATAAGAAGGTGAAAAGTGGGTTCCCTAGACCCACTGAGAAAGTATCTAAAGTGAAAACTGAAGCTCAAGGGGAGAGCAAAGACAGAAACTTCGACAAAGAAGAAAAGGTAGTGGGTGGTGGCTATTCCTTGAGCTGGGACTCACTGCATGGGAAAAGTGGCTCAAACTTGCAAACACACAGTAACTGCTGGCAATCTCTGAGGTCTCTACAGAGAGGTGCACAAGTGGACTGAAGCGGTGGACACGGTGGTGAGTGGTGTGGGATTGGACACCCTGCAGGAGAGGGAAATTGGCTGAAGCTATTTTGTAAAGGAGCCAACGGAGCTAGAAACTCAGAAGTACTGGCTCCATCTAGTGGTCCTTGCAGAATTCAAGCCTGTAGAAAGGTGAACCAACTGCTGCAGACTGAACGGGTCTGGTTCCAGCCTCGTGGCCAGAAACCAGAGAGAACTTCGGGGCAAATAATGTGCAGGCTCTGTGGAATTATGTACTACTACACTGTAAAGCAACTGTTGGCTTGGGGGCATTAATCAACATGGATCTGGATCCAGTCTCTCCACACTGTATATCAGTGATAGCAGAGACACACCTTGAAGTGGAGGTTTTCTCTCATTCTCTGTCTCTCTGTGTCTTTCTGTCTCTGTCTGTCTGTTCCCTCTCTCTCTCTCTCTCTCTCTCTCTCTCTCTCTCTCTCTCTCTCTCTCTCTCCTTGCTTTTTGCTTTCATTGTCATTGTTTGGTTTTTTTCCTTGTTTTTGTTTTTGTATGACTGTGAACATGATCTCTAGTTTTTTGTGATTGTTCTGTTCTCTTCTTTTTATTTCTTCTTTCTTTCTTTCACTCTTTTCTTTCCCAAAGTTTGTGAGATCCTCCTTTGTCTTCCAGCCTTACCTTTAATCTTTTCCTTTTCTATTTCTTTATCTCACTCCCTAATCCTGTCTAAATTTTCTCCCCGAGGATAGAATAACCAAATTAAGGGCTTATTCACTACATATAATGTTCTGGTTTTTTAGATTTTGTAATATAACCACAAATCTAGTTCGTAAAATAAAAAGTAGAAAATTAATAGTTATCATACTTTATCATTTTCTACGTCATGTTTGATACTATTGTTATTGCTGATTGTATTGCTTTAGCCAAAGTGGGATAATTGTTTTAACACGTTGCTCTTCCTGGTATAACAAGACTGAGTCACAAAATACTGCAGGCAAATGCCAAAGAACCAGTGGCTGGGCCAAATAGACAGCAACTTTTCATTCACAATAAACTGAAAAGGCAAGATCTTGCAATAAACTCAAAACCCAAAAACCAGCGATACCTGGAGGACATGCCTGAGAACTACTTATTTCTTAAGAGTTATAAGTACTATCAATAAAGCTTCTCATCATAGGCCTTTACAAGTATCAACCCAGAAATTAAACTAAAAAACAAATAGAAAAAGCAACACCAGACCTCTAGCTTACCAAAGGCAAAGCCAGAAGGCAATGAAGTGGAACAATTCAAAAGCCTTCTCTCTAAAGTGGTAATCGCAGAAGTAACAAGACAAATGAATGAGATTCTATAAAAAAAAATCAAATCAAGAATAATTTCTCAGATAACTACAGAGATGGTGACCATAATGAAAGACAAGTGCAGTAACTCTAGAGTTGATAGGATAAAAAATAGAGAGACTTAGAAAAATGATGGAAATCATGCAAGCTAAACCATAGGAAAGAAATGGAAGCCATAAAACATCTATTTTCTATATCAAAGCTCTGTCATGGTGAGGGTGGAGAGTGGCTTTACAAAGACTTTTTTGAGGGAGATTAAGGAAAAGAAACAAGCCAGGAAAACTGCAATGTCCTTTTCATCTAGGGCATGTTGTCTCATTTTGGCTTTTTTGTTGTGGAGCATCTCAAATGGATACAAACTTCTGGAGATAGCACCTGAATTTATTTTTTTCAAATTACTTACTTTGAAATAGTTGATACATAGAAAATCGTACAAAGAAAGAACATGAAGTTGGGTGTGGTGGTAAATGCCTGTAATCCCAGTTCTCATGAGGCTGAGGCAGGAGGATCAGTGAGTTTGAGACCAGCGTGGGCTACAAAATGAGTTCAAGGCCAGCCTGAACTTCAGAGTGAGACTCTGTCTTAAGAGGCGGGGGGGGGGGGGGGAGAGGAGGGAGAAGAACATGACAAAAATTATCAGTTGTTTTGAGTCTAAAGAAAGACTTAGCAGTTAACCATCTAGGTGAAGCAAATGTTTAGGGTGGAAGTGAAAGATAAAGGGGAAGAGAAACAAAGGAAAGCTTTCAAAGAGCTGCTTTTGTTGAATTTGCTAAATCTCTGTAAGAGATCAGTTTCTGTGTTACAAAGAGAAAAATGTTCCAGTAGCTGGCAAAAGACACTAATAAAAAGCAAGGTGAATTAAACAAATTGATACAAAACCTGAATGATCCATTTAGCAAAGAATTAGAGCTCATGAAAATGTTTGGATTAGATACCCAGGAGATTAAAATTTATATCAAAAGTATGGGCACTGGAAAGATGGCAGATAGATAAGAGCAGAATACAGAGGCTCCCTGAGATAGACGACTCAGATGCTGAAATACAACATGGTGGGGAGGCCCAGAGGCAGATGGATCCTCTCAACCCAGCAAAAAACTAATGGAAAAAGAACATGTCAAACATGCAGTCCTGGGGCTACTATTGGAGATTTGGTGGTCTCACTGCAGTGCTTGAACTCGTGTGGCCATGACTCATTGAACCACCTGAATTCCTGCCACTTCAACTTACTGAAACCATATTTGCACTGAAGTGCAGTTGCACTGAAGTAGGAGGTCAGTGAGCCCAATGGAGAATGGAACTGGCAAGGGACCTGCATTGACCTGCTGTGAGTGCCGGGAATAAGACCCTTCCATGGGAAAGGGGCACTAACAGGATGACATTTGGGAATCTGGCAGGACTGGCAGGAACAAGGAACAGCAGTGACTTCAGTCAGTTGTTCCCTTCCCAGACCAGATTGGTGGGGTATGCTTTCCCTGGGTCATGCCCTTGGCTGGGACTCAATAAGTTGTCCCAAACCAATTCCCTACATGCAGTGCACACTAACGCAGTGAAGGTCTCAGAAGGTTGACTGACCCGGAGGGGAGGGGCCAGCATACGCTTCCCCTGCTTGCACCTCCATAGTACACTGGAGTGGGCAGAAAGCCCTAGCCAGTGTACTTCAGAAGAACTATAACCAACAAGGAAAGGGAATGGGACTGCCTCTATACACCTGTATGCAAGAAACCAAAAATGTGACAAGAGGAAGCAACAAGAAAAAGTCCCCAGCCACCAGTCCTGAGAACATTGACCCAGGAGAGGAGAGAGAACATCGATACAAAAGAGACTGAGGGCAGCAAACATGCATTATCAGACATGGCATAAGTGGACATAAGGAGATATCTTCATTCCTCATAGATGATCTAAAAAGTGAAATATTTAATCAAATAAAGCAAGATATAAGTAGATTAATAAAACAAATGCCAAGCACCTCTCAAGACACAGACAGAAGAATGGAGGAACACTACATAAGGAGAGAAACATTTGATCAAGAATATAAAGAAAACATAGAATACATGAAGCAGGTTCAAAGACATTACCAGGAAATAAAAAAAAAAAAAAAGCTCCATTGAAAGCTGGCAAAACTGCTTGAAAGAAACTAAGGATAGACTATCAAAACTTGAAGACAGGTTTTCAATGTGTGATCATGAAAGGAAAAATTTCTTAAAAATAATAAGGAAACAAACAGTGACAGTACAAAGGCTAG